CCCTTACCTCATTTTGTACACAGAGGCAATCCAAGCAACACCGACACCCAGGTCCAAAGAGGTCTCATTTTCTTGGGGAACAAATGGGAAAAGGCAGGGCCGTCCACTCATCTCGCCTTGATGATAGGAGGGGAATGGGTTTGTGCTGGTGTCCAACCTCTATGTGTTCTTCTTTTTGAAAAATTAGCTGACAAAATCATGTTTTGTTCAGGCCATGGGACCCTGAGACCAGTGCTATAAGAGAGGTCTCCTAGAACACACACTCAGGGTGTAGGTCACCCTCTTTTCTCTCCTCCAACCATTCAAAATTCAACAGGGACTAAATTCTGCACTGGCAATCTACAAAAGATCCATGGTAATCATCTATTAAGGGTAAGAAGCTGATGGGGCTTGAGGCTTTGGAGACGTGGCATACAGCTCCAAATCCGGGGCCACTGTAGAGTGGAGCCGAGAATGCCCCTGCTAAACCTAAAGTTTGTTGTTCTGACTCCTAGCGACCGTGTGTACAGGACAGCAGAACCCTGCCTGTTCTTTTTGCTCCATCCTCTCACCTTCCAGCACTATGTCAGACATTTGCACTGCTGCTATTCACAGGGTTTTCATGGACAATTTTCAGGAGTGGGTGGCCAGGTCCTTCTTCCTAGTCTGTCTTAGTCTGGAAGTTCTGCTGAAACCTGTCCACCATGGATGATCCTGCTGGTATTTGAAATACTGGTGGCGTAGCTTTCAGCATCCCAGCAACACGCAGCCACCACAGTATGACAACCGACAGATGGGTGGTGTGGTTCCCTGACCAGGAACTGAACCTTGGGCCGCAACTGTGACAGCGCCAACTCTTAGCCACTTGACTACCAGTGATGGCCAAACCTAAAGTAGTCAATGCAAAATAAATGACTCCTGCCCCACAAGTGCTGACCTAGGTGGGCAACTGAGCCTGCGCTGCCACAACTTAGCACCGGGACAGTATAAGAAGCAGAGAAACATGTTTCTTAAAGAGAGGGCCTTGCACGGCATCTCTGGGTGGGCTACTGGGAGCCTGTGTCCCCCACTCTGCATGCCCCTGGTAGTGGGCATAGCTCTCCACTGCTCTTCACTCCACAGCTATGACATCTCCCAGTGGAACATGAGGATCAGCACAAGGGCATCCAGGAGTTGGCACAATGTGCACCACGGTTAGGAGCGTGGGAGCTTCAGATCACAGAAGAGGGAGGGAGAAGGGCATGAGGGGTTCCATGGCAGAGCCTCATGATCAGCTCCCATGATCAGGTCAGGAGTTCTGCCAGTGGGAACAGAAGGAGAAGCGATTATATGTCCACAATGACAAACTCCCATTTCAGGCCCTGCAGAGTCTAATGTGTGCCTTCCTTTCTTCAGATAGATAACCCAAGTAATGGCCAGGCACAAGACAGTCATACTCATGGAATTGACTCCTGGGTCGCTTGAAAGTGAGGTCCCCATCTGCTGGCAGAGTGCATATGGCCTTCATGTTGGGTACTTCATTCACGTGAATACTTAACCTATGCATTTTTTTTTTTATAAATGGGTCCTCCAGAGGGCAGCAGAGCACAGCCCTGTGGCCCTAACATGGCCCTGGAGAGAGGTGGGGTAAAGGTGGTGGTCACATTCCACTAGATAGCTGAGGGACTGGCTTTTGATTTGGGAGGATTTAAAATCCACAGTAGACAGGGGGATGCATATGTTAAGGAATTTGGAACTGCATGCCCCCCAAAAGCAAGGGTGTCCATCAGACATGAGAAAACTTGGGAGGTTTTGGAAGTCTGCTAGCAGCTGCCCAGCGCTCTTTTGAGGGAGCGTGCCTGACGGGTGAGGTGGTGCAGGGTGGCCCAGGAAGTAGGAGGCAGGCTGCCAGGGCTCACAGATTACCATGGAAGTTTCTAATACTGCCAAGGGTTTCCTGACATGTTTTCAAACATAGGGGCAAACAATTTCTGTGAGCAATTGTGTGTGCATTGCCTTTGAGGAAAACATTGGGCTTACGACTGCGTTGTCTTTCAACGTGTTTGGTTGCATGTGACATCTAGAGCACTTTCTGGCACCTCTGTTTTGACAGGGCTTCTTGCTGTTGAAATGTATATTTCCAAATCCCCCGCAGAGTGCCTGATACATCTTGGGTGCCAGGCAAATGCTCAGTGGATAAAGTTGAATTATCAGCTGTTAAATATCTTATTAGTACAAAACAAGCTGAAAAGGTGTACTTCCCTTTTTGAGAAAGTGTTTGGGTTGTCCCTAAATTTCTGAGATCAAAACAGAACCATGTTCATAACCATCCCTAAGAGTATCCTTTTCTGACTGTCTGGACCAGCCCACCTGGCTGCAATCTTTGAGGAATAGTTATTGTCCCAAAGGACACTTCTCTAAAACTGGTACTCCTCCAGGTGTGATGGGACAAGAGGGTGACAGTCATGGGTCAGTGAGTCAGCAGAGGACAGAGGAGCAACCAAATTCAGAAAGAGCTTCATGGGTAGTGGGTGTGCACTGCCTCGCCCTACTCCCTCCACTCCATCCCGTGGCCTCATTGTGCACTGTCATGGTTCTTCAAATACATCTGTTGGCATGGTTAGAGATGACAGCTCTGGAACCTGGCATCCCTCTGGAGTTTGCTGTTCTCCCCGTCCAGCCTAGAGGCTGGATCTCTTGTTTCAGCAGCTTCTTTTAGGAGCCCTGCTCTGAGAGGCATCTTAATTTGGGAAAGTGGGTGAGAGGGAGGTGGGGATCAGGGGATAAGGGAAAGTGTGGGTGGGCGGGTACACAGAGTGGGCAAGGGGAACTTGGGGAGATGGGAAAGAGGATTTGTAAGGATGGGTGGGTTCTCACTATCACACTGAATCCTCTCTTTATTAATAAGTGCACTGGAAGGCATCCAGAGAGGAGGGGATAAAGCCTAGAGATTTCAGCAGGGAGAGTGGAGGAGGGGAGGGATGGGAACAGTGCTGGGCTGAAGAGTGGAGAACAAAAGGAAACTGCGAGAGGACACCTGGCACACGATGCAGAAGACCCAGGTTTGAATCCTTCTGTGTGAAAATCTCTGAGGCTGGTCCAATATGTGCTGCTAACATGTCATGGGAGAGTGACAGGGCCCGGGCAGCCCACCCATCGGGCTCCTGTCATTGCTGATAGCCTTTAGTCACTGTTTCTGATTAGCAAGCTTTTCTCCTTGCTGGCTGCGCAGCTTGAGAGAGAAGCCAGGACCAGGGTTGTCCCCGGTCCATGGTGGCTCCACCAATCCACATCTCCATCACCTTTGAAGACGAAGGAGAGGAACGTTCTTGGAGTGTCCTCGCCTTGCCCACCTCTGCTTGGGGCCTTGACTGAAACCCTCTCTTGGGTTCTGGAGCTGAGGGGGTCCATTTACTCACGTACACTCTGTGAAAGGGATTGGAGACAGTCATGCCGGGAGTATTTCCAAAGCCAGGGGGGCTCCTAAAGCTAAGCACCGTTGGCGTGTGTGTCGGCCACGTGCACCTACCGCATGTCTACTCAGGACTAAAGGAAAACGTCCTTGTGTTTCCACAGGAACGTCCCTACTCCACAGGTATTATTTGCTGACCTGTCTGTAACCAAGGTTAGTTTTTCTTCAGCTAATAAATACTCATCTTTCCATGAGGAAGAGTGAGCACATCCCTTAATCATGAATTTGGTGTTTTTACTGCCACAAACATCTTTAATGACGTTTTACAGCTTGAACTCGTCTGAGCGCCTGAGATAAGTTATGACTTTGCTGCAAAGCTCTTTCCAGGTTCCCGCCAGCCACTCTGGTTCTCCCGGGGCTCGCCTACCTCTCAGTGGGCTCCGAAGGTCTCAAGGCTCCTCGCCCCTCTCCTATAGACAACTGAATTTCTTCCCTGCTCTGGAGAGCAGAGGGTGAATGTTTTCTTCTGAGAAGTTTTCAGGTTTTGCGTCTCTTATCACACACGCCTGCACTATTTTACGTGTAATTTGTCGGGAGCTTGAAGGGGATTTGTGGGTTCCTTGAAGCTTATCTAGGCACCCCAGTTTAAGATACTTTAGTTTAAACAGAAACATCTTTATTACTTGTTTTCGATACTAAATACTTTGAGTAGCTGTCTAAATTCTCCTCAAAACTCCCTCTTTCGAAGGCTTTCCAATCTTTGTCATTGCAAGTCTGCTAGCAGCTGCCCAGCGCTCTTTTGAGGGAGCGTGCCTGACGGGTGAGGTGGCTCAGGGTGGCCCAGGAAGTAGGAGGCAGGCTGCCAGGGCTCACAGATTACCATGGAAGTTTCTAATACTGCCAAGGGTTTCCTGACATGTTTTCAAACATAGGGGGCTGGACCAAAGTTCTCGTGGCTGTTGTGGAAGTCACAGCTCAGGTCTCCCTTGAAGAGAGACTGGCTGTGGGAGTGCAGTCAGCTGCCAGCCTCCGGCGACAGAGCCTTCAGGACCCACCACAACATTCAAACGCAGACCCCTCTCTCTCCCCAGAGAGGTCCCAGCTGGTGACCCAGCATGGGGGCGGGGGTCCCAGGCCTGGCCATTTCCGCCAATGCGGGGCTTCTCTGTGGGTACCCTCTGCATGCTGTTGGGCTGCCGCGCCTTTCTCAGAGCTGCAGTCGGAGGCTCTTCCCGCCCAGTTCTCCCCTCCCCTGTCTTCACAGGGGTCCGATCGGCACAGTGCTCTCCTGGCTTCCCTTGCTGACTCCAGCTTCCTCTCTCCTTTGTCTTTCCCAGGAGTTCCCGCAACAAACCTCTTGCACTTCTAACTCTTTCTTGGTGTCTGCTTCTGGGAGGACCTGAACTGACACAGCTCTACTCACAGGTGACATCATTGGTCACTTCACACAATCCCAGATCCCCACCTGGAAATAGTTCCCAAATCTTGCCAACCCATTTTGTCATGGAGTTAGGAGTTTGTTGGGTGTTGGGCTCCATCCTTTTAGCTATGCCAGTTATTAAGGTTTGTAGTACCACCCCACTCAGCCTCTCGTAGGGGGCTTAGGTTCCCTGGAGATGAGACCAAGGCATGAGATAGTCAAATACATACTTTATTTCTGCTTGGAAGTTCTTTCCAGGATCCCAGGCTGGAAAACATAGAAACCTCAGGAATGACCCCTCTCTACTTACATGATTCTTCCTGAAAGTCAGGTCAATGAGGTCAGCTCCCCAGTCCCCTTTTCCCAGGATTCCACTCAGTCCTCCCAAGAGGAAGGACATTCCAGCATGTCTTTGCATGCTGGTGGGGGTGAGGAGGACAAGCTCCTGCCCATTAGTTCCTTTCATAAAGGTTTCCCCGCCCCACACCCCAATTGCTATGGTCCTACTGTGAGTCCATGATATACATCAGCTCCTCTCTGTGAGAGAATGAGGAGGAGGAGAGATTGGCACAATACACATAACACATTGACAGCAACTGGATCCCACAGTTTGGAAGTAGTATAACAAAGATGGCCCCATGATGTCTTACATCCTGTTACTACGGAATAGTACGTCAAGGAAAAAACATTTGGAGATAAACACAGGGTGACACATTTCTATGATAATGAGACCCATGCACAGTGCAAATCATGGTGTTTCTCACACATGGGAGCTGACAACGTTTTCATAAGTCAAATGGATGTTGGAGAATGGGTCAGAGGAAGTCTTGCCGGGCTCTCTCAGAGGGGATGTTCTATCAGATTTGAAACTGCCGAGGAGCATCCCATATTCCCTCTTATTATGTGCACTGCGGATGCTGTTCAGCCACATCCCTTTAGTTCCCCTGGACTGACTGGCGTCTCCATTTGGTATTATCACAGGGAACTCTCATCCAAAAGGCTCTCTGAAGGTCCTAGAGTTTGGCCTGATTACCCATGTTGAGTGTGGGTCTTTAGAATCCTGTGGAGAATCAGCTTCTCAGCTGCCTTCATGCCTGCTGGGCAGCCTGGCCCCGCTAGCAACAGCCAGGCCAGTGGGCTCCTCAAGAGTGGAAGGAGCTGTGTGTTCCCAGCTCAGGGCCAAGTCCAGAGCAGGTGTCCTTGTTAGGTCCTCAATAGTCCTTGCTGAATTCATTCAACTCTAACCTCTTCCATAGAGAGGATGTCCACAACTCCTTGACAATTTCTTCTTAGGCACTTTCTTGCCATGGGGACAGGAAAGGGAGAGTCAGAGAGTCTGAAGGGAGATGCACGGTGGCCTCTTCACACAAGAATGGCTGCGGGGTACAACCTCCTCACGCAATGGGCCTCTGAGCACATGCCTTCTGTTAGTGTAAAGCTAAGACTCTGGGTTAGTGCCCTTGTCCTAAGATAGCCAAAAGGCCAGAGTGGGGAGCCCACATGTTTGTCCCCCTGATGGCATTCTCCAACTGTGGGACTTGGCCTGCTAAAGCCTGATGGAGATATGCAGGCTTTGACACAAAGTCGTCTGCTCTGTCAAAGGCCAAAACCTTCCAGGAGAAGGAAAGTACTCCTGGTTTTAGCATAAATAGGAGAATGTCTGATATGGATATCGACACGTGGTCTCAGCAGTTGCTGTATCTCCAGGAGCTGGGTGTGAAGTCACTAGACTTGCGGCTTCTATTCTTTGTGAGACGACCAGATTTTGGTGAAACAAATACAAAACCCATAGAATCATTGCACCACTGAATGTTAAAACTTGAGGGCATGTCTAGATGATGTCGTTCAGCTCCATAGTTTTACAAATAAGGAAAGAGCGGCTCAGACAGATTAAGTATGGCACAGGTCTCCTGACCCTTGGTCCCTAACCGACACTAGCTGGTATCAGTGGACATATTCCACCTGCATCGGTTGCTCAGGACAGTCACTGGGGACATGATGCAGATGAACCTGAGGCTTTCAATCCCATGAGGTTTAAACGCACTGAAATATAGACATGTCAAAAGGGGGCAGAAGTATGCCTTCTTCTCATGGCTGCTTAGAAGACGGGGTTAAATCTTTCATTCAGATTTTATGTGGTTCCTTCTTTGTTCACCCCATCAACTAAAGGCTGATGTGATATGAGCCACCAACTAAAGGAGGGTAATCTGAGCAAGACTGAGAATGACTTTATTGAAGTAAGACCGGAGCTCCAATCGAACAGATCAGTTGGTCTCTTGCTGCACTACGGGTTTCGTCCTGAAATGAGTGCCCACCTGCCACCCAAGTTAATTCTAGAATCCTAGAATAGATTATAGAAAAAAATCTAGTCCAACCTTCCCATTTTACAGGCTCAGAGAAGTTCAATGATGTGCCTTGGGTCACACAGCCTGGGAGTGGCAAAGACATGGAAGAATCTAGGTTTTTTGACTCTAGGGTGGGATGTTTTCCCTAACCCATTCTGACCCTTTTCACAAGCCCCAATGTTAAGGTGTTTCTGATGGTCTCCAGATCAAAGAATTATCCATGCGTGAAGTGAAGCAAGACAAAGATGGTGGTGGCTACACCTACTGAAGGCCCCCATGGTCTAAGAGAGCATGTTGGAGTAGAAGCTGAAGCTCTCTGGCACGGTCTTGGAGTCGCTGCGAGAGGAGCCATTGGAGGCCAGGTCCATGGACAAGGGTGTGGCCTTGGGGCCGTCCTCCATCTCCTCCTCATGGGCCCCCACCACTGTGGAGATGGTGGTCTCCAGGCGGCTGACTTTATATACGCTGCCCTGGGTCTGGAGGTACCTGGTGGATTTCATTTCAAGCCCCTCATAGTCGCCGGCACTGATGAAGGGGCAGCACCGGAAGGCATGCTTGAAGCCGAGCCGGAACCTGGAGAGAGAGCAGATGGAGAGGTGACCCTTGGGGATGGCCTGCTTTCAGGGAGCCTTTCCACCATTGCATCAGCTCTTGAACACCCGGACACACCCAAATGTGACTCTGTGTGATTATTTTTTAAACTAATTGACAGCTAAGGCTACAAAGATTTAAAGGTCAATCATCAAGGTCAAATCCAAGACTAGAACCCAGGTTCACGTGAAACGCGTCTTTACTGAGGGCAGCCGCCAACTATGCTGCTCCCACAGGCTCAGGGTCAGCCAACTTTGGGCCCATTCAATATCAACAAAAACAGCCAGCAAGTGTTTACTCTGTGCACAGAACTGTGCTTGTCACCGGGCAGTGAAAATACACATCAAGACTCAGTCCTTTCCCTCAAGTAGCCCAACGACTGAGGATGACTTTCTACCCATCATGTCCTGTCAGTGTGCCTCAGTTTCCCTGCTTGCTAAACTTGGAGAATCAGCCTTTACTTTAAGACAAACTGGGAGATATAACATAAAAATGTTTAGGCGGGTTGCCAGGCTGTCAGACGAAAGATGAATCTGTGAGTTGGACGAACAGAGAGCATTTGGACAAGTTTATGAGAATGTCTGCCTCCAAATTCATAGCACTCGAGTGTCTCATTCACAGAAGGCACTTCTTAGGCTGATGACCGATGGCTATAAAGACGATGACAGGCATCTTATCCCTCCTCCTTCCTCTCCCACCTCCTTTGCCACATGGAGGCTGGAGTGTGCCCCGGATGATGGATTGAGCTGCCATCATGGCATCTCAGCTCCCTCTTGGGGACTCTGTACACTGCTGTGAATTCCCTATTGCTGACCCCCATTCCTGATGGGCTCTCCCTTCTCTTACTTGTCCGAGGTTGGCTTCTGCTTCGGGGATGGCTTTCCTGACCCGTGGGACCAAGTAAGGACAGAATCAGGCCTTTGAGACCTTAACTCCTCTTTGCTTACTCTGTCTTGCTGGAACTGCTGGAAGAAACTGGGTAAAGGGGCCCAGACTGTATGATGGGAAGAGGACAGTGAGAGACCAGAGAAGGGAAAGATGCCCTGTGGGTTGTGGTATTCCAGGGCCACCTCTCTCTCTCTTTCTCTCTCTCTCTCGACACACAGCCCTCTCTGGATCCATAACGCAGAGTGAGCAAACTCATAGATCATGAACTGGTTTGGGCTTGCAGACCTGTTATATGCATCAATAACAGAGGGTTTTTTCTTATCTGCACCCCTACCCCCACTGACTTAGTTGCCAGTGTTCAAAAGCCAGAAGATCTCACGCAAAAATATGGATTTCTGGTTCCTCTTGGAAAAGAAAAAGATGTATGCCCTCTGGGGGCTCGTATTCCTGCATGGCGATCATCAGCAGGACTGAGTAGTGTGGTGATTAGTTTTCTGCAGTCCCACCACTCTTTCTTATCTCCCAGCCGGCTTTGCTCATTTAGGTTGGCTGCTTTGCGGTTATATAGACAGAAGATCTTGCGGCCCCTGGAGAGAGTATGGGGGCCGTGGTCCTCACCTGTCATTGAGGCAGCAGTAGATGATGGGGTTGTACATGGTGGAGCTCATGGCCAGCCACATGATGGCCAGGTAGACCTGCTGAATAAACTTCTTCACGTAGAGATCAGGGTTGATGTAGGGCAGGAGGAAGAAGATGTGGTAGGGCAGCCAGCAGACGGCGAAAGTGCATACCACAACGATCATCATCTTGACCACCTGGCGAGAGAGCGAGACAGGTGAGACCACCAGCACATCCTCCTTGATTCATGGCTACTTTCTCTCTTCTCCCGCCCCCTCACTGTGCACAGTGCAACATAGGGTGGGAAGTATTTATAATAACCCTCTTTAAGGCGGAGGAAAGACCATTTATATATGGTACCAAAGGACTTTGGTTATGTCACTGGTTCTCAGAGTGTGGCCACAGGACCAGCATCATCACCATCACTTGGGAACTTGTCAGAAATGCAAATTCTTGGGCCCCACCCTAGACTTACTGAATCAGAAACTCTAAGAGTGGGGCTCAGAATTCTGTTTGACAAGCCCTTTGAGGATTGTAATACACACTCATGTCTGAGCACCACGGGGTGATCTTGTCCCTCTGGGCAGTGGCTGGAGAGGCTAAGAGGGACCAGATTAATGAGCAAAGGAGAATGGGTGTTCAGGAAGGAAAGACCCAGAAAGGGGAGGGAGGGCAGGGCAGGAGCGGCAAGGAGCCAGGTGGGCACTTGCAGACTCAGCAGGAGGGAGGGAGGGAGGAGGGACGGGACTCAGGCAGCTGCAGCGAGGGAGCTCCAGATGCTGAAAGGGATTTCAAAGAAGGTTTCATGAACACAGGGTGATGTAACCCCTTCCTTTTTATACCCAAAAAATCTTCAGAGAAAAACTACCTAGCATCCACACAACGAAACACTATGCAAAGAGGCACCAAAAGAAAAAAAAAAGAATGAGGAAGATCTTTATACTGATTTTCAAACATCTTGAGAATATCAAGCAAAGAAAGTGAGGGAAGGATAGTGTGTATTTATTATCTCTGTGAAAAAGAAGAAGAGAAAAAAGAATTTATATTTATTGGGCTTACAAATGCATTACAATATCTGGAAGGATTAAGAAGAAACAAAAACCAGTGGTTACCGTAGTGTGAGTGTGTGCGTGTGTATATGAGTGTGTGTGTGCATTTCGGAACTGGGTAGATGGAGGACATAGAAAGGAGAGAGCCTTTTCGTGGTAGGACTCAAGATATTTTTTTGACTTTTAATTTTGACACAATTTAGGACTCCCAGGAAGTTGAAAAGTAGTACAGAGAGATCCCAGGTACCCTTCTCCCAGCTTCTTTCAAAGATGGCATCTTACAAAACTAACCCACATGATCAAAAGCAGGAAACCGACACTAGCACAGAGCTATTAACTAGACTATAGACCTTATCTGGATTTTGCCAGTTCTTACACACACTCACTTTTTTGGTGTATAGTCCTATGAAACTTTATCACCTGTACAGATAAGAGAAAACACCACGACAATCAGGGCCCAGAACTGCTCCATCACCACAAAGAAACACACTCATGCTGTCCCTTTATAGGCAAACCTTCCTCCCAGGACAGACCTTTGACAACTCCGATCTGTTCTCCATCACTAAAATTTCGTTCCTTTTAATACTTTTTGATGTTTGAACCATACAAACGTATTATTTTGTCAAACTTCAAATAAATAATAAAAAGAGGACTGCATAACTCTTCAGTGCTTTTGTAGTTAAATACGTGTGTGCGTGTGTGTTTGGATGGCTTGACAGTTGCAATTACTCCTGAGGCGCCAGTGGGGTGGCTCAGGCCTGTACAGACAGGCCAAGGATACAGATACACAGAAGAAAGATCTTTTCCTTCCCCCACCTCCCACCCCTCCTCCCCTGCCGTCCCCTCCACTGGTCCCCAGACCCAGGGATGTTTCGTGCCTGCTGCCTCTGGGCCTCCTCAGGCTCTGGGCTCTTGTGCTTGCAGCCTGTCACCTGTGCCAAGGTGGGTTAGGGGCCACCTGCCCCTTGCTCACCTTGCGCTTGGCAGAGACTTGCTCGTGGTAGCGGTCAGAAGAGTCCCCGGGGATCTCGCTGGCCCACAGCGTGATTCCCACCACGGTGTACGCGTAGCCGATCACCAGCAAGGGGAGGAAGTAGATCAGCACGGTCACGCAGATGTGGTACCTGCAAGGAAGTGGATGGGAGGGGTCGTCTAAGCAATAACAGGGATGGTGACGCCTCACCAGCTACCTTCCTCAGTCATTGATAAGCTTGAGTGATAAGGCACACAGCAGGAGGCTTGCCACCCGCATAGGGTGGGTGGGTGATATTCATGGGTAAACTAGAGAAAGCAAATCTCTTCAACTTAGGTTGTTCTTGTGGACTTTTCCCATAATGGAGATTCCTGTTCAGATTGAAAAGAGAAGAATAAACATTGATGAGAGGAAACTGAATCTGTTGTAGCTCTACGTCAGTTTTAATTGATGTTAAAGTCAATATCACTTACTTACCCCTCCGAAGAAAATAATGCAAACTTAGGCTGCCTTAATGGAAATAGATGCTCTAGAATGAAGGAGGTGATTGTGCCACTCAGTTTATACCTATCAGATTACACATAGGCTCAACTTAGGTGCAGGGATGTAGACCAACTAGCACATACAGATGAGAACCACCACGATGGTTGGCAAGCCCTAATTCATGCTATATTACAAATGGATTCACAGAGATAAGAATAATTAGCTGGGAGGAGAGAGATAAGACTTATCCTAGCACTGGGATCAGTGGGTGAAAGCCACAAAATGTAAGCCACTTCTAAGTCTGGATCTTAAAAATATGTCTCCAGATGGAGGCTGCCTGGGTTTCTGAGCCTCCATGACGACAGAGACCAACTGACTTGAGTATGACTGGGACATAAGCAAGAAATAAACCTTTCAGTGTGAAACCACAGGGACTTTTAGGGTTGTTGCAACAGCATAACTTATCCTATTCTGTTTAAGGAAAGACTCCTTCTAAACCAAACATTCGAATAAGATTTTGAATTTTGAGAAAGAATATTTTTCTCAGGGAGTTCTTGGCACGTCTGGCAAGTTTTGGCCTTTCCCTCCATGTGAGTTTAATGGAGAGGCACAGCGTTCCTTATAGTGATAATAATAATAACAGCTAACATTTTGGAAGGGTTGCTCTAGGTCACTGTGCTGATAATAATTAACGATAGCATTAATAGCAGAAATAGTAGTTTTATTGAGTGAAAAGCAAAATGGCAAGCACTTTCTGGGCAGAATCTTATTTAATCCTCAAGACAAATGATTAGGTAGGTACTATCATAATCCCATTTTGTAGCTGAGGAAACCAAAGTTTCAAATTTCATTAACTTTCCTGAATTCACAGCTGGTGAAATGGGGAGCTGGGATTAGAAGGCTGAACGGGGACCCCAGGGCCAGCTTCTCATCACTGAAAGAAAGTCACCTAGGGATATTTTCTTCCACTCCGTTTATGCTTATTGTCTGCAAGGATTTTTTTTCAAAATGGAAAACCCACTCTTCACTCAATTTCTCCTTTATCAATAGTCTGTTTTCAATCACTTCACAGTGTTACCACTTATTCAGCCTCCCCTGGATAGTGACAAATAAAAATGGCAAGTAATAGGATATATTGGAGTATATGAGGAAGCCATTTTGTGTAAACCTAATTCGGCCTGACCTGACCTTGTCTTTCCAAAAGGGCCTGACCGAGGCCGTTGAGCATGCATTGTATATCTGCTTTAGAGATTCCCTATGGCAAGAGCAAAGGCCCTTAAGATAAAGGTGCAACTTCCCTCCCCCCTCCCAATGTTGGCGTCTCCTTAAGGATTAAGCATCTTTCCTTAGGCTAGAAACTGATTGCTGTGCTGACCTGTGACCGCCCAGCTCGACACAATAGACATGCCTCCTGCTACGCCCACCAAGATAGCAGACCCCCTACCTGCTGTGTCCGTCAAGTGCTGTGCCGACAGGGCAATCTTGTGACTATTGTGGGAGGGACATTTCAATCATATGTGAAACACCCTCTTTGAGGGTATATAACCACCCTGTGTACCCCAACTTCTTTGGAGTGCTCTGTTCCTTTGTGGAAAGACTCTCCCGGATTATAATCCTAAGATTTAAGCTCAGAATAAACTCACCCGAATTTTCATTTATAGATTGGTTATGGATTATTTTCTTCGACAATAGTAAAATGTGCCACTTGAAAACACTTGGAGAGTTCTTAAGTAATGAACCCCCGAGTCAGCAAAGCAGGGTGCTGAGGGCTGCTCCAGTCTCACCAGGCATTCAAGGTCCCCCTCGAGTGTCACCTCCTCTGGGTTCTCCAGCCACCAAGGCAGGGACCGCATCCTGGGTTTCCTACCTGGTCTCAGCCCCTCTTTCCGATTGCTGTACAGACGCCACTTGTAATCAAAGCATTTGGAGACTCTGGGGGCAGGGAGACCCCGAGGACCTCCAGGCTGTGCCTACTTCTCCTCCCCGCCTCCCCACCCCCACATTATGCAGACAAATACTTGGTTGGTGATCAAAACATATTAGCTGAGCTGTGGGGGGCCGCTGCCTCAGAGCGCGGAGCATCCATGTCCCAGTCAGGGAGGTGATGGAGGATACCGCCTCTCACCCTGGAGCAGGGGTCCTCAAACTGGAGGCAGCTTCCGCATCTCCAGAGGGCTCGCACCAACATGGAGGGCAGGGCCCCACCCAGAGTTTCCGACTCAGCAGGTCTGAGGTGGGCCTGAGAATCTGCATTTATCACAAATTCCAGGGGATGTTGCTGCTGCTGGCCCCGGGTCAGACTTTGAGAAATGCTGTCCGTGACCAAGGGTTCTCACTCTCAGAATCACGTGAGAGTCACCCCTGGGGTGGGGAGCGGGCTTTAAAATGATCAGTGCTCTGAGATGCTTATTCAGTTGGCCTGAGTATGGGAGCAGGAAACCATTATTTTAGAAAATACCCCGAGTTATTCTGGTATACCGCTAGTGGTGAGAACCACTGTTTCAGACTCAAGGTCTGCAGGCAGATGGGGACTCCATTGTTGTCTGAGATTTTATGACTTCACTCAAGTGTGTATTAACCGTATTTCTGACACTTTGACATCTGAGGCCTTGCTGATCTGGGAAGGATTGCCCTGCCCAGGGCTAGCTAATTCTTAGAGGTAGCTCCTGCTAGTGTGCCTTTCATATGCAAACTGACTGATGCAATGCCAAGCCGGCCTGCTTTCTTGGGCTCTGACACTGCGGGATTCTATCCTCCGCCCGCCCTAGTCACCCAGGGGCCACCTCAGACACCTGGGGGCAGCCCCTACACTGGGATCCCACTGAAATGATTCAAATTAGCCAGTCCTAAGCCTGTTTACCCCGCCTCACCCATTCTTTCCCTGAAAACACCATACAGGTTTCCTGCAGTTTCCAGCTCTCTGCCCGTGGCCACGCGGCAGGGCGGGGCATGACCTTTCCTCTTGGCAACCGGGAGTAATAAACGATCTTTTATCTTTTCAATGGCAATCTTTTCCTTATCTGTTGGCCTCACCATTCCTGCATAAAAAGAATAAATCTGCACTTTAAAACAAAGCGCCCTTTGGAAAATCACAGATCAGATCATTAGGAAAACGCTATTATCAGCCTTTTTTTTTAAAGGAGAAAAAGTAATTTTGTTATTCATTTGAAAAGAACAAAAAGTATGGAGTTGTTTTCAGCTAAAAATTGTTATAGTCAGGTAGAGCATTAGCTTGCCCATGCTCTAATAGGGATAATTAAGAATAAGGCAGGAATACGACCCAGCAATTCCACTTCTAGATATACACCCAGAAGAACTGAAGGCAGGGAGTCAAACAGAGCCTTGCACACCCACATTCACAGCAGCACTATTCACACCAGCCACAAGGTGAAAACAACCCAAATGTCCCTCAACAGATAAAAGGATAAATGAAATATGATGTTGTAAATACATACAATGGAATATTATTCAGGCTTAAAAAAGAATGAAGCTCTGACGCATACTACAAAATGCATGAACTTTGCAAACATTACACAAAGTGTTAGCCAGACACAAAAGGACAAATATTGTATGGTTCCACTCATATGAACTATCTAGAATAGGCAAATTCATAGAGACAGAAAGCAGATTAGAGGTTACCAGGGGCTGTGGGGAGGGGACAGGAGTTATTATTTAATAGGTACAGAATCTAGGATGAAAAAATTCTGGAAGTGAATAGTGGTGATGGTGGTACAACATTGTGAACATAAAATGGTAAATTTTATGTTATGTGTATATATATATATATGTATTTTTTTTTGGTGAGGAAGATTGGCCCTGAGCTGACATCTGTTGCCAATCTTTCTCTTTTTGCTTGAGGAAGACTGTTGCTGAGCTAACATCTGTGCCAGTGTTCCTTTATTTTGCATATAGGACGCTACCACAGCATGGCTTGATGAACAGTGTGTAGGTCCATGATCTGAACCTGTGAACCCTGGGCCACTGAAGTGGAGTGTGTGAACTTAACTGCTATGCCACCGGACCAACCCTATGTTATGTACATTTTGTCACAATAAAACTAATTTAATTAAAAAACGCGTAAGAACATTTTAGCAGGGCTGGGCTCCTAGGTCTCCCGATTTGCACCTTCTGCTCCCTCCAGACACTCTTCAACAACCTCCCCGGCCAAAATAATAAAACAAATGAAGGAAAAATCCTGTGGGTTTGATCCTTGGATGGGATCAAAGGTTAAGTGTATCCTCCTAAATCTTGGTCAGATAACCCCCTTTTACACTGAAATTGCAAATGGCCAATCCAAACACTGTCTGGGTTGCCAAAAATTCTCAATGAATGCAGGTCAAATGAATGAAATTCCAGCACTACAAAATATGAATATAAATATGTTTCTTCCACCTTGGCACATTTTGGAGAAATTTTTACCATATCCTTGCAGTTATTTGGAGATAACTTTGTTTTTTTATTTTGTGCCAAAATCATCATTTTAGAGAGCTGGTCGATGAACCTAGTGTAATCTTATTTTGTGTGGCTCCACGCTTTTTTCCGGCTCTCAAATCTGATATTCCCTAGGTTCCTGGCAGGCAGAATTTTATCAGCTCTCAGAATTAACAGCTGCCCTGGAGCAGAGATCAGTGGTCGAGGATGCAGGAGAAGTGAACCAGAGAGAGAAAC